CTGAAGTACGAATATAATAAAGAAGACTGCAAATTCTCTCTATATAAAAATATTTATATATTCTCAATTTTGCGTGGATAACGTTGTGAAGGATGTCGTCAGTCTAATGGCAATTGTCGTATTCTGTATGGACTTTGAGTATGATTTCACAATTAATTAAATCAGAAAATTTGTCATGGCCATTTCTTTACTCATTGTTGCTTCAGCAGTAAGTAATTAAATTATTAACTATTAACCAGAAACTTCTCGTGAGATGTGTTTATACGCATACGGTGATATGAGAATCGAAGAATAGGAATTTTTTTAATTCCAGTTATTTTTATATCTAAATTGGTATAGAGATTTTATTGGGACAGCTAGCAGACGACATATTTGTTCAAGATTAGATTTTTCGTTTTGAGTTTATTTTCGATTTTTGGTAAAATACGTTTGATTTTTTATTTTAAAAAATTGATCTCAAAAAGGAAAAATTAGAAAATACGTTTCGTTTAAAATTTTGAGAAATTATTTTATTTTACTTTATTCCATTAAATTTGATCGTGTAAAATAGAATAATTTTAGATTAATATATTATCAAGTAATTGATAAAAAAAATAATAGGATTATCGATCAAAACAATAATCAAATCCTTAATTCTCAATATTAAACCATAGATACATCTCCATGTTGAAATCCGAGAAAGTAACAAAATATAAAACATACATATATCTATAGTAATCTGATTCTTTGCCTGAATATGTTAGAATCTTCTAAATGATTGATGATCTTCACTTCAATTTTTGTTCTCTATTGATGGGGATGTAAAGAAACTCAAAAACACCAACAAATGGGAACCATAACCATATAAAATAATAGTAGTAACTCAATAGTCACTATTTTTCAGTTGCTTCAAATTGGTCCCTCATCAATTTAAAACAACACTCCGATCTCTATGTGGTGTAATTAGTTTTGTAATCAATCGTTAATCTATTGTAGTGTGTCATACAACCTAAGTATTTAATAGATCAATTCTGATATATATAATTTTAGCCGACCTTAAAATTAAACACATTCCAATTAAAAATATACATGCATATAAGGCATAACATAATTAAACTCAATACATAAATAGATAATTTTATATCTCAATTAATAATTAAATCATGTCCTAATATCCATCGATCATTATAAATGTGAATGCAAAACCTTCAAATTGGGTGAAGTGTTGAACAATTGACGTTGACCCATATTAATCAACTGTCCATTACAATTGAGTAGACAATTAAATTTAGATTTTAATTCAAACTCATACAATTCTTTTCCTCTACTAATAATCTTCTCGAATTTCAACTAAATTTTCAAGTTACTTTATCCAAATTTTCTTATTTTTTGGTAAATATTTGTTATGTTATTGATAATTGTGTTGTTTTATTTTAATTTGTTCCCAACTCTTTTAAATTTTTAGCGCACTACAATTTTTTTTTTTTTTTGCTTATTTTCGTCTCAATTTCCTGATCGGGTCATTCAATTAACTATTTACATTTTAACTTAATTTCTAGATTTTTTCGTTAATTGCTAGAATGATTTGATGACTTACTTAAAATTTCATTTTAAAGATCTAATTAATGAGCCTTTCGACATATTACTTTAATTTGGTGGAAATTGAATGCAAATAATACAATATTTTCCACCAAATTGCTAAAAATATGTTGTTACACTACGCCAAAAATTACATTTCGCAACGGGCAAAAAACGTTGCCTATTACCTTTAGCAATGTTCGCTCGTTTATTTTGGGATGCGATGTTGCCGTAGAGTCTTAGTCATTTGCAACGGTCATTGAACATTGCAAAACATGTCATTTACAACGGTCCCTGAACGTTGCAAAACAAGTCATTTGCATCGGTTGTAACGGTCTCTGAACGTTGCAAAACAAGTCATTTGTAACGGTCCCTGAACGTAGGGACCGTTGCAAAAATGGTCATTTGCATCAGTCTTTGAACGTTGCAAAAAATCCATTTGCAACATTCAACGATCGTTGCAAATGGCTTTTTTGCAACGTTCAGGGACCGTTGCAATTTCTTTTCTCTTCTCTTTTAGCAACTCTTTTTGACTGTTGCAAATGTCAAATTTTTTTTACATTAATTTTTTTTTATTGCAATTACCTATGAATTTAAACCTTTTTACAGCAATTTGTACACGAGTATTTTAAGACAACAATAAATTTAAAAGTAACTTCATTAAGACAATAAACATGATCACAATTACTTCATCAAAATATAATATGCACTCCAATATTGAAGATGCGTACCAATGACAATTCAAGGACATATACCATCAGGCTAAAGAGACATTGCAACAAATAAACTACGAAAAAGTCCAAAATGTGTGTATATCAAATACTCCCATCATAATGCACACAATCAATATAACAAAAGCTTCAAATGAGACGTTCCAGACCAATCCTTTTACATAGACTCTCCAAGAAGACACAGGCACAAGGAAACTCTGTTTTAAATTCTTTCCTTAACTCAGTTCGGCTCCGTTTAACTGCAAGGAAGAAAAAATATAGAAGCTGATTAACGTCATTTATATGAGAAATTAAATCATACGCTCAAGAACTCGAAATACATAAATGAAAAAATGTAGAATTATATAAAGTACATTCGTCAAATAAGTCTAGCACAACTCTTTGGCCAAACTACAGTACTTTCCATGGCTTCACTAAGAACTCGAAATTCATCTATAGGTCTATGTAAGGGTAAATTACTCATATGCACCTCATCAACCCAAACCTTCCAATAATCACGTCCGAGTGGAATGTGATGCACATTTTCACTTGGGTCTATTGATGTAATCTTCACTTTACCTACAACTTCATCCTCCTCAAACATGTGCCAATGCAATAGTTGACACCTTGCATTTTCCATCGGTGCAATACCTCCCTCTGTACCTCTTCCTTGGAGGGACTACAAATTCGCAGTAAAATAAAAATATTCCTTTTAAAACTAGTATGATATAGTCTGAATTTATATTGAACAAATAATAAATAATATAAGATACAAAAACCTGTGGAGTAAAAGCACGTGAACTCATGTCCTCTACATTCTTGTTTTGATTCTGTAAAATAATACAAAAACTTAAAAATTATTCTACATGTTGATATATATATTAAGCTATGCTATCATATTATATATAATGGCAAAGTATAACCTAAGATAGCTTGAAAAGTGTTTCAACATTTTCTTCTAGTACTTCAACCTTGCTCTCAAGTTCTCTCACTCTCATATTGCTTTGTATATGTCCATCTACTTTTGATGGTGTAATTCCAAGTCCAAGTCCCCTTACCCTTCCACGATGCTCAGGACCTAAAATTCGAGCAACAGCATCGTCTTGGATAGAATTTTCTGCTGGTGTATCATAAATCAACTTTGCACAATCTTCTATCTTTTTCTGAACTTATGGAACTTAAATATTATTCTAGCAGTAGATACACACACATATACATACATACACACATACCAAAGTTTCAGCAACTGCTTCATTTATTGGTTTTCCATCCTTTCGAAGATGTCCATAAGTCCATACTCTTGTTCTCAATCCTTTTATATTTGGATTCTTCTTTTTCTACAATAAAAATCTAGTAATTATAGACGCGTATAGAAAATCAATAGAGACATATACAGAAAAATAAAGATAGTTTGTAATTCTACCAGATCATGAGCTGTACGTGAATAACTCTTTTGACCCATAGTATGAAGAAGCTTCTGATTAGTTCTCATGTTGGTGAAATTGAAACTTTTTTTCTATTAAAGAAAACAATATTTGTCAACGATAATCAAATAAAAATTTTAAGATCAATATGAAAATATAACTTACTTGAAAATCAGGAGAAAGAGTATCTTCTACAAATTTTTCCCATACTTCACAGTTTATATTCGTCGGTCTAAGAAGGGCAATAGCGCATTTTTTATTCACAACGGATGGTACTTGAAGTTTGATTTGTTTTCTCAATCTTGATTTGAATGTCCTCCAATACGTTCTCATACATTGAAAAGTCATTTTTTTATGGTAGTTGCTGACATTGAACCTCTGCTATATTTATCACAAATATAAGAAATGGTATCAAGTTTTGAACGGAAAATGTACAATCAATAACTAGAAAAGTACCGTAATGTTCCATCTCTGGTATCAAGCTTTTTACGATCTATTTCAACAAAATTCCATGCTCCATCTCTGTATTGTTCTGAAAATCTACGACAACAATTTTATGATCAATTTTATTATTGTTTAGATTTTGTAACTAGATTTATAAGATTTTATTTTAGATTATAACCTTAACAATTGCAGCCATTCTTTGTCCATTATGATACTATAAAACATTGAACAACAACAATTCAAATTGTGAAGTAAACTTGGTAATTTGTAACACAAACAAATGTGTGAGAGCATAAGATTCATATTGTAAGGAAAGTGAATTAAATTAAGTCTCCATGAATATCATAGTTGATATTTTGCTTCCATGAAAATGCAATCTAATGAATAAGGTTGTTGGAGGTGAGCTATAATTCTTTGTCCAGTTGAAAGGTTCACCTAGAACTCCACCTAGACCAATTCCAGCCCGCAACACCTAATCAAGACCCCTTTAATAAGATACTTCCAGCCTTCGTTTAGAAGCGTAGTCTGAATAGGAATAACAACCATTTTCTCAAGAAATTAAAACATACATGACAAATCGAAGCCGTACATAGAGAAAAGAGATAGAAAACCAAGTGAAACTAAAGAAATAAGTCTAATTTCAAACAAAAACATGTATGTAACAATCCACAACCAGCAACCTTTCTTTTCTGCATTCTGAAATGTGAGTGTTTTGCTCGTGTGTGTGAAGTTGGAACTCTAGGGTAACTTTTCAAACTATCAACACTTTTAACCAAAAAAATTCTATGCTGATACACATCGCCTATGGGTTGCACTATTCACAATTTAAAATTACAATTTAAAAGAGTACTACAACACCAAGATTCTACAGCAACTCAGCAACCAGTTTCAAAGCCTGCACTTTGAAGGCTTGCTCCCGAATTGTCATCCAGCACCAAATTTTGAGAAAATCATAAGATTGATTTGGGGAAATCTTAAGAAACGTGGAAATGATAAAAGGGTTTGGGATGAATCTACCAGTGAAATCTGGAAAGCAGAAGACGGTTCGAGCGGAAAAGCGAAGAGAGAACGAAAAGGATAGAAAATGAGAAGGAAAGTCGATGACCAGGAGTTCACCGACGGTAAGAGAACTGACAGTGACGGCTGGTAAGAGAACATCTGATTGGAGAAGGCTGCAAACTGATGGAATTTTAGGGCTTTGGGCATGAATGGAAGACGTGGACGACTGGTTAAGAGAACATTTGATTGGAGAAAGCTGCAAACGGATCGAATTTTAGGGCTTTGAGCATGAATGGAAGACGTGGTTTTTGGAGAAGAGATCTGATTTTTATTTTTATGTTGTAAACAGTGAAAATGAATATGTTGACTCTTTTGCAACGTTCAATGAATGTTGCAAAAGATTATTTTTTGCAACGTTTGCCCAAACGTTGCAAAGGAGTCAGTTGTTACAACGCTCACCCAACCGTTCCAAAAGATGTCGATTTTCACAAGAGGCAATGACCGTTGCAAAAAACACGAAATATGTAAACTTTTGGCAACGACCAATGAACGTTGCAAAAAGGACAATAGCAACATGGATTTAAAAATTGTTGCCAAAACTCAATTATATTAAGTATTAACCAATTGCAACATTTACTTATGAGAATGTTGCTATAGACCTCTTTAGCAACATTCAAGCAATGAATGTTGTCTTTTTCATGTTGCAAAAAGCCATTTTTGTTGTAGTGTTATTCAAATATCCATAGTTGTTTTTTGAGTCTACATTTCCAACTAGTTTCTTCCAGGAGTTCGTTTAATACAAATATGATTGAGGCAGTTATTTGTCCTAAAATTTGGTTGCATAGTTACAAGGAAGCTTGTGATTCGTTAATATTTAGATAAGGTGGAAGCATTGGATGATTCACAAAAAAATATAGAAGATATTATCACATTTCATATTTCAATTAATTTTCTTTCACTATAATCAATGAACATATACTATATTATTATCTCTATGCAGAGAATTCATGTTTGCGCCAATTAGTATCAACTAGCAAGTTAAAATATTTCTATCATGTTTTGTTGCATAATAATGATTAGAATTATAGAACTTTGGTTTGTAATATTTTTAATGATACTGCTTATATTTTAACGTGAAATTATAGATTAATATTAATGATTTAATTTATTTGATATATGTTTTTTTTTTTGTTAAACTGTAGTTTTAAACCGAACCAAATCGAAAAAAAAATGGTTGTTTGAATTGGTTTGATTTGATTTGAAAACATTTCAAACTGCTTTAAGTGGTTTGATTTGAAAATTGATCACAAACCGCTCAAACTGAATCATAAACTATTAAGTAACGTAATTCAATGCATTGATCTTCTAATTTAGCACATGTTTGATTCAGCTAAAACCTAGTTTTTATTAAATTTTGATAAAAGTGATGAAGCCCGTTTGGTCTTCATTTTCTTTTTTTCTTAACTCATTTTCAACCGTATATTTGTTGAGAAACAACTTTTCAATTACAAATTTCACAAGTTTTTATTAAAATTTACTAAAAATCTCATTTTTAGCTAAACAAAGGGGCAAAATAAATTGTTAAAAAATTGATAAAAGTTATGGATCTCATAACCGTTGTTAAAATTAAATCTTAACTTTAACTTAAGTTTTTATCAATTTTTTTGCTAAACCAAATAGGGGCTTAATGCATGCATTGTGTACGCAGAGAATGAATTCTCATCAACTAACATGCACTCCAAATTAATCATTCCAAAAATCCAAATTTTGTAATGAAAAAGTTAATTCCAAGAGGAACATTAAAGTTTAACAAGATATACTACAACATTTAGATAAATTCAATATCTCTCTCTACCATACCATACCATACCCAACCTTTAAAAAATACTTATAAAGAGAAGAAGAACCAAAAGCGATCTCCCCAGCCCAAAACCTAATGGACATACTCAGAACACGCATTAAAAAGGAAAAGAAATGTGGTTGCTAATGAAACCTTGGCCGATGAGGAGAGGAGGATCCGAGGTTCCTCTCAGCGCAAACAATCTGGCTGATTTTTCTTTCTCTGAACTCAGTAGAAATGAAGAGAGATAGACCAAGAAAAATAAAGAAAAAAAATTAGCTTTCTCAGAAAAATATATATGTTGCTAAATCAGAGAAGGGACAGAAGAACCCATTCTTGAAGGATCAAACATAAGTATTACCACCAGTTGTGTTCCATAATTGATAAAGATCTGCAGAATTTATCTGTTCAGTTGGGTACATTGCTTGGATTTCTGTAAAAGGGGACAACCCTGGAAAGTTAGTAGCTACTTGAATATCCTTCATGCCTGTGGAAACGATTTTTTGTTGCTGAAGGCTAGAAGCAGGCAAAGAAGCCATTGTCGAAGTGGAATCAAAAGTTGAAGATTCAGTTCCTGAAAGAACTGAATTTGGATTGGTAACATCTTGGATTTGCTCAGTAGAAATAAACGCATTATTGTAGACATTGTGTTGTATATGATCACTCACCATAAGTACCGATGAAAACTCTAATCCAGGTCCATTAATCTGATGCTGAATATCAAATGCAGAAACCCTGGAAGAATTCCACATTGGATACGTAAGATTGAGCTGAATAGGGTTACTAGGCAAGCTGTACTGGGTTTTGTAGTTCCATTTGAAGCAGAGGAAGGGTTTGCACAACCAGTAGTGGCGGTGGAGGCTGGCGGACTGGCGGTGGCTGCTTCACCCTCTTTTTCTTCCTAAACCCACCCCCAACTGGAACGTTTCTAAGGGTTCCGCCTCTAGTAACGCTTGCAAGATTTACAGACGTGCCTTGGTTGAGACAGACTGTAGTTATTGACTTGTAGTAGAAAATGGAATCACAGCGAGGACACTTGAAGAGAATTTGTTCTTGCTTACCATTACATTGCAGCTTGCTCTAGACATGAAGATTTTCTCATCAATCCGATTCTGCACTTAATTAGGGATCGAAAAAAAATGAGGAAAAGGGAAAGAAGAGTTCAAGATGGTCCATCTAGGGTAAAAATAACAACACAAAATGAATATTCTTTTCCAAAAGGAAAGCAACAAAAATGAGGCCATATTTTGTCTTGTAATAATTGAGAGAGATAGAGTGTAATGCCATTAGTAGTTGAGTCGTGTCCCACCAGTATCAACTCAAGTAATATGATTTTTTACAATAAAGAGTACTCTTTAGAAATTAATGAATATTTAGACACAGTGTGCGGAATTATGCAATTAAAAGCAACAAATCATTTTTTAATTGTTTCTAGATGGTTAGATCAAACAAGTCAATTTATCCTAAGTTTGAATACCATATTCAATAATTAAAGCAGTAAATAACATAAAATTTGATGATGTAGAAAACCCTCAATTGAGTAAAAACTCTGGGCACTTTGTCTGTCAATAATCTACTATAAATCGAAACAAATTTACAGTACGGACCAGACCCGTCTACCCCGTAGAAATTCGGATCTCAATTCCTGCAATATCGCTTGATTCTACTGGAGGTGTGCTCCTTCAAAACAAATCCTGACTTCTGGTACCTCACATTAGTCCTCCTGAATTTGTGCTTCTGCAACAGCTCCCGATCCCTGATATCGATTTCTCTCCGATAGATTAGATAGTTTGGTGTTTGATCGAAAGATCTTGTGTGTTTTGATCTGTGGTTTAATATGAAATAATATGGTTAAATCAATAAATCAAAGTTTGGATGAAATTATGGCTCAAATTATAGTGGTTGAATCTTTGAATCAATGAATGTGTTTTGATTTTCAAATGAATTATCTCTATGGAAAATATGATTCAACACACTTTCGAACGTTCATATGGAAGGATATATATATAGGGAAAAGTGTTTCAGATGAAAAAAGATCGAAAAACCAAGTGTTTGAAGCAAAACATATTTCTGAATGTCAACCGTCGCTTGAGATCCAAGTAGCAGCTTAAGGTCTTTTTATCATAATTTTGTCTCTCGATATCCGATTGAAGTGACTCAAAATGCGTTGAAAAACTAACTCAAATGGATACAATTCCTCTAGAATATCCTTCTCCAAATTCCAATTTTTTATGTGAAAAATGTGTTGCAAGTTACGACTGAGAATTTGAAACATAACTTGTGCGACTCTTTGATACTCTTTAATGATACTCTTTAGACTTCTAATTGTATTTCCTTGATTATATGTAATCTTCTTGGATATCTTGGACTCCTTCAAGGACTATACTACTCTTCAAAGACTCCTTACCTTTTACAATTATTTAGTAATAATCCTATTCTTTTACAATAATCCTTTTGTCTAAAAAAAAATTGCCAATACAACTAAAAACCTAACAATACAATAAACAAAATTTCATTTTTTCTTTTCCGTTCAATTTTTACTATATCTAAAATATTCTACGAACTTTAGTTCTAATTTCTCGTATGGTCTGTCCTATGATGAATTTAGATTAATAAGGGCTTCTTTGGCACTATTTATAATTGTTCAAATCTACTTTTTTTGTCAATACGTTGTGTGAATACAAATACAATTCATTTATTCACCACTCATTTTTATATTTATAATATAAATTATAAAAAATTCTCAACCTGCTTTTATGTTCAGGTTATTCAATATTGTAGCATAAAGGAGAATTCTTGGTCCAATAAAGGACAAAGAGTTAAAGGCGAATTAGAGGTGGGGAAAAATTCAGTTTTCCTACTTTATTTTTACCCTATTTCAAAAATAACAAAACAACTTTCACATTTCAAAAATCAGATATTTTAACATATAAATACACATATATATAAAGGGTATGTTTGGTAAGAATTCTCATTTTCAAAAGTAAATCAATTCTCAATTCAAAAATAACAAAACAATTTTCACATTTCAAAAAGCAGAAATTTTGACCTATACATACACATATATATAAATATTTATTTATATAAATAAATAAATAAATATATATAAAGCTGAATTCGTGAAATAACATTGATCTTTTCTTAACTTCTGCATAGAGGTCAGAGGTAGATATCACAAATTTTGATTTTTGAAAACGATTGAGAACCTCTTGAAGATTGAAAGTTTCAGGAGTAGATGTTGAAGGAAGAAGCGAATTGAATTTGCTTTTTAGTTTTTGATCAGGAATTTGCTCACTGATTTCTTTGATAAGTTCTTCTTCTTTAGTAAGAACATTTATAGTTTTACAATCACAAATTTCTTTACTTTGCGAAGAGGATG